TATGCATGTATGTCTGTATGTCTGTACGTATGTATGTACGCATGTATGTACGTATGTATGTATGTATGTATGTATGTAAGCATGTAAGTAAATAAGTAAGTAAGTAAGTAAGTAAGTAAGTAAGTAAGTATGTCCATAAGTAAGTAAGTAAGTAAGTAAGTAAGTAAGTAAGTAAGTCAGTAAGTCAGTAAGTCAGTAAGTCAGTAAGTAAGTAAGGGTCCGTTGTTAACCACCTGTCTGACGACATCCGCCAGCCTTGACGACTCGAGCACCGACGTTAAAGTCAAGAAGTATGTATGTATGTACGTACGTACGCTGTATGTATGTATATATGCATGCATATAGTATCATATAGAATTATGTAGATATACATCTACTTCATGTAGTAATGTACGGGAAACCTTCCACTCTGGACGCGCAGTAAACGTCATGGGTGGCCTCTTCAGGTTAGCCATACCCTAACCCCACAGGTACCTACTATACAGGGTACTAGAGCCCCTAGGGCCCTATATAGTAGGTACCTGGAGGGTTAGGGATAACTGTGTCTTCGCATGTTGCCCTTCGAGTTGAGGGTAAATCCTGTACTGTGTGGCGCTTGATTTTACACAGCCGCTCCAACGGCGTATCTGTCACCTTCAACGGGTTTGCTAGTCTCCAGAGCACCGCAGTGAGGCTAAATACGACTGAGAGCACAACTGTCGCCCGACCGCATTCCTTTGAGGGTGGTTCTACGATCTTTGCTGCGCTGGATTTCCACTGGCAGCCTGCGATACCTGCGCAAGAACACAAAGGCCATGCTGGTTTGTCAACCTTGATCGCAGGCGTCAAATCCTGACAAGCAGCGCGGGCCCTAAACCCCAAAGCCCTCAACCTCAACACTCTCCGAACTAAGAAGATCAAGCTTCCTCGATGGCATTCGCAGGGTCCACGCCGTCTTTTGGGAACATTTCTCCGAGAGACCGAAATCGTCGGTTGGGGGATGTTGGGGGGACAATCTGGTTCAAGCTGTTGGCGACTCTCCCGAGGTAAGCCAGAGTAAACCAAGTCGTGTGCGCAGCATCGCGCCAGTGATAATGTGCCGCCGATACCTGCGCTTCGCCACCCACATCGCAGACAGAACGCTCGAGGACTGTTTTGCTTTGTTCCGCCGGGTTGTGAGAGGGGACTGCTTGTCGTAGCCTACACCGCGTAGATCGGTTTCACAGTGTCGCTAACGGCTAGTGACTCCGACACGGCGAGCTTCGTTTGGTGCTTGGAGTCTGCGTGGTCCTCATCTTGCTCTGCGACGCGGCACTGGTGACGCACTTGGGCTGCCACGTGCGTGAGTCCTGCATAAGCACCAGCGACTCTGTGTGTGCCCAGAGAATGTGGAGGATCTCGTCCACAGGAACCGACTCTGCCTTGTGGTGGCCTCCCTTGGATTTTGGCCGTCTACCTGACCAGATTCCTCGTGGAGCTGCGGCAGGTCAGGGAGGAAGGGCTCTTGCACACAGTGCCGCTGTGCACCTGCATACTGCTGCTGGTGTTGAAGAAAGTGCTGCGACTGCTGGCCCGATGCCGAATGAGCTTCCGGATTCGGACATTGAGATGAACGGCCAAGGGATTTGCGACCAGACGCATTCGCACGAGTGCTGCGTGTGTGTCTATGTGCACACGCCTGTTCAGCCTCCTCACTGGAGTGTTGCGTACGCGGTGATTCGCCCCAGAGCAGTGAACGGAGACAATTGTAAAGCTCGTGCACAAACGGTGGAGAGACCCCCTTCGGGGAGGGATTCCTCGTGGTAAACCCTAGAGCCAGAGAGGGGTTTGATGTTGCAACTGCTCAGAAAGATCGTCGGGAGGATCGAGGGTTCGAGGGTTCCAAGCACTTTTCTGGTAGCATGGTTTAAGATCCGCTCCTGTGGTTTCTTGAGGATTTTGGGGCCTTAGGGTTTGGGTCACCAGGATACAGGATGACAGGGCCTGTAGGGTTAAGAGACTTATCTTGCGTGGTGCTAGATCTGGTCAAGAGAGCAAAGTTTGAGCTGCATGGGGCTGGTTTTCGCAGGAGAGACCACTGGCGACTTGCGTTGAAAATTACATTGTCGCGTCACAGTAGGAAAGCTGTTCGTCCAAGCACGCGATGACACGGATTACAGCGGAGGTCCCATCACGGGGTCGCTTAAGGAAAGGGAGTTTTGTACTCCTGCGCTTATTAATTACTGCCCTGAACGTCCTGAACGTGCCAGCCCTGGGCCCCTCCTGGACGTGCCAAATTCCTAAACCTTGAGCCCCCATCCCATCCAGGCCGTGCACACTTCCCTGAAGGCGGCCCGCATGCTTGCAGCGAGTAGGTCTTCTCTCTCCTGGGGTCTCTTAGGGAATTACAGGGTTAGAGCTACTGTGAGGGTTGATATCAGGATTACTTTATAGGTTGCTTCAAATAGTCACTACAGGAATACGGTAGGGATGAAACTCGCCGGTTCGAAAACGTGCTGTACGTAGACGTATAGGCGCCCTCGAGTAGAGTTTGGGATGTTTTCGCAGTTGCATCGAACAAAGCTTTTTGTTGGACATGGGCGTTTGGTCAGAAATTTTATTTTTCTGAGTGGATTTCTGATAACTTGATATGTGCACTCCGCCATCTCCCTGTGCCCGTGGCATTGGCAAGCCGACGCCCATCCCGACTGCAAGCGAGCCAGCACGGGTAATATAGGGGCTTTAATAATTAGAATAGGGTTTTTGGAGGTTCCTTATTATTATAATTATGGTAAAATATACCGCAAGACCTATTCTGATTATTAAGGCCCCTATATTACCGTCCGACCGGCTTTGAGCTCTTGAGTTTGGAGCATTCTCTAAACGGAGGAGAACAGACCCTAACCCTCCAGGTACCTACTGTATAGGGCCCTAGGGGCTCTAGTACCCTATATAGTAGGTACCTGGGGGGTTAGGGAGAGCTGTTTCGTCGCTTCGAAACACCGCAAGCACGTTTGTCGCTCTTGCAGCTGCAGCTCTCCGGAAGTCACTACGTACAATGTACGGCGCTTCCGTTTTACTTCGGCAGAATCGGCTACAGCTTTTAGCATTCTAGTGTTTTGGGCAATTTTAGAACATGTGGCTTGCTGAAGTTCAGTTTTGAGGCGCTGGGCTTCACACAGATGGCGAAGAAGGTGAAGCAACGGGAGGTTGGCTGCCGGCTGTCAGAGGGTAAGTACACTAGATCCCGGTGACCAGCTACGGGGTCCTTGTTTGCACTATTAGTTCACGCGACCCTAAACCCTAAACTCTAACCCCTAAACCCTAAACCCTCTCCTGCAACGGCCGAAAGGCTCCTCGAGGCTACATGGACCTGGTCTCACTGTAGGCTATCTATTCCAGCCACAGTTTGTATACCACGCGACACGGTACCGTTGGGCTCCCTTCGGGTAAAACCGTTACACGAACCGTCAGTGCAAAGTCGGACGCCTTCCTTTGAGAAACTCCTTATACAAGAGCAGCCATGTAAGTGTTTTAATCTCCTCAGCTAGGTGACAATCATTGCTTTAGGGTGCAGGCGTCTATTTTGAACAGGGTTGTGGCCTCCAAAAGGTGCATGGCATACCAGCCCCAATATTGCGCGTCTCAGTCTGTCTGAAATCAAACGCAAGACAAAGCCCATCGCTCAAAGGCCGCAGACATGAAGCTGGCCGAGGACAAGGAGATTCGCTTCCGAATGTGATATCTGCAGCTTTGCTTTGAGCGCCCAAGGGGGAGGATGAACTGACAGGGTCTTGATTGCTGTGATAGTGGTCTTCATGACACGGAAAGTGATGAAGATGGGCTTCACGAGAGTGAAGAGGATGAGTAGCAGGAGGAAGAAGAGGACCACGGTGCTAATGTTGCGTTTTGAAGATGAGGATGCAGAGGATAACAACCGCAGGAGATGTGATGGACGCAGGTCGTCGTTCTGTCGGCTGTGGCTCCGCTTGTGGTGATGGTGATGCCTGCTACCGTCTGCTACCGTTACTTCAGATGCCGCTGCCTTCGCTGCTTCCGCTACTTCGCTACGATTATTAGTAGCCGCACTGCGACACTATTCCCACTTCGGCTCCTCCTTTCACTCCTGCAGCTGCTGCTACGACTACTACGACGACGACGACGACGACTACTACTACTACTACTACTGCTGCTATACTACTACTACTACTACTACTACTACTACTACTACTACTACTCCTACTACTCCTACTACTCCTACTACTACTCCTACTGCTACTGCTACTGCTACTGCTACTGCTACTGCCACGACTACGACTACGACTACGACTACGACTACGACGACGACGACGACGACGACTACTACTACTACTACCGCTACTACTACTACTGCTGCTACTACTACTACTACTACAACTACTACTACTGCTACTGCCTACGACTACGACTACGATTACGACGACTAATACTACTACCACTACTACTACTACTACTACTACTACTACTACTACTACTACTACCACTACTACTACGACTACTACTACTACTACTACTACTACTACTTTTTCAATCTGCTGCTACCACTGCTACTACGGATCTACTACTAATAATAATGCTAATACTACTATACATGCGGGAGCCAAAAATACTACAACTACTACTACTACTGCTGCTACTGCTCTGATATTGATACTGATACTGATACTTCTACTACTAGTGCTGCTAGTGCTAGTGCTGCTGCTGCTACTACTGCCACGCTGCTTGAAGTACTGCTCCAGAAAGCCCTACTCTCCATATTGATGTTTCCTTTGAGCCTCCTTTTTTAGCATGGAGAGGATCTGTCGTCCACCCGTAGCTTGGGCCGCATGGCACGTGCGGCATCTCGGTAGCAGCCGAAGATGCGGAAACCAGGGTCTGCTAGAAGCTGCTAGAGTTTAGGTTTAGGGGCTTTGTGAGAATTAGAGTTTCACTTGTGGGTGCTGTATTCATGTTGCTTTGCCCAGTTATTCTCCGGACCTACTGAGTGATAGTAGGTTGGGAGTATGTCAGTCATAGAAAAGTTTTCCTGAAGAGCTATACTGAAGCATGAGAAAGTTGATTCGGATTGTCTCCTAAAAACCTTGGCCCGCAACATGCCAACATGTGGATGCCGCATGCATTCAAGTCTTTGAGCAGATGTCATTTTGGGACTGGCCTGTTGTACGATAAACACTGAAGACGTGGCCTGCAAAGCCATCCACTTCAAACGATCCACAGGTGCGTGTGTCATCATGTATGTCACTGTTGCCATTTCGCCTATAATGGTTACAATGATTATGATTGCTCCTGCCTCCGCTTGTCTTTGCTGTTATGGCCATTGTTGTGCTCATGTTTATGCCTGCCAATATTGTGTCATGACTGGTATTTCACCCTCCGCATAGCATACAACCTTTACTCTAGCCACAGCGATGGTAGGTGTTCCGTTCGTTGTGGAGCGACGCATCATGCCTGACATATTCAACCACTGTGTCATTTTCGATGCTGATACTAAGAAAGTCGCGGTCGTCGTGTATTCGTGTATTTCTTGAATTGTTAGCATCATTGGCAGCACTCGCCAGCGTTGTTGTCTCAACCTGTTCTTACATCGACGGCTTCGGGTTTCGAGTTCCCACTGAGAGCCAAAGCCGCAGAAGCCTTGACACCGCCCGTTAAGAGCCAGGCAGCAAGCAAAAGGAGGCTGCAGAAGCAGAGCCCTTCGAAGCGAAGTGTGCAAAAGAGGTGACTGAGTTGCAATGGCCCGAATGGCCAAGAAGTGATGCAGGGATCAAACTCTGTCCTGAGTGTCCTTGTGCCTGCGGTGATTTCGATGATTTGGGTCAAGCTGGTGACTCGGAGAGCAGAAGGCTATGCGCTGCGAAAGCAACGGTCAAGATGCAGATGGCTCTGTCGTTTACTTGGCTTGGCTTTACGGGTTCGGGGCTTGCAGTTATCGTCGTATTGTGGATAGCAGAGTCTGCCGTGAGGCTTTCAAGCCACTGCAGAGCTGCAGGGAGGTTCAAGCTCTAGGGCGACCTCGCGAGTGTTCCACACCTGCCCTCCTTGAACTATTTGTCATGCAACAGTCAGATATAGTCAGTCTTCGGCAAGAAGCACAGGCACGGTTGGCTTCTTGCAAGTCCAGCTAGCCAGAGCTGGATCTACAGAATCTCAAAGTCCTCACGCAATGTGGAACAAGCGCTAGACCCTCATTTGTAGATGGATCCTTGATGTGAAGACTTTGTAATCCTTCATGAACGGCATCCGGTTTTTGCGGACATCAGGATCATGAAGATCAAGAGCGCTCCACGATCGCGATCCCGCAAGTGAGGGCAGGAAGACATGAAAGCTGACACAAGTCCGAAGCCAGATCATATATGCTCAACCTCTGCTCATATCGCAACAACACACACACACACACACACCTACATATGCAAGCGGAAGCACGCGCAGAGTGCGACAAGCGAAAATACGACTAGCAGCATGATTCTACCTTTCCGGTGCCATTGCGATCAGTGCTTGTTTGTTTGAGGCGTTGTGTGCGGGCTTGTCAACGTCCCAGGTCCCGAATGCAATCTTGTTACGCTATGTTTTGGTCGGTTGCCCGGAAGTCTAGACTGGTTGTAACGAAAGCATTTTGGCTCACCACAGAGATGCAGGTCAGCAGAACTGCCCAAGTCCGATAGACAGGAAACAGACGCAGAGCCGAGAACATGCTTCAGTAGTCCTGTGCTGCGTTTCTTTCGGGGAGGCAATCCCTACATTTTATCCTGACCGTGCTGCACACGCCGGTCAAAGTCTGCCTCGACTCTGCATGGCTTCACAGTAGCTGTGCCGGCCCCTAAACCCGAAACCCTAAACCCGAAACCCTAAACCCTAAACCGTGAGCGAGTTTACAAGGCTCCAAGCAGGCTCTGACCCAGCGTGCTTCGGTTGGGCTAAGTTTGAAGGTGGCAAGGCTCAGAAAAACTCACTGAGCACAGCCTAGACGAGACTCTAACGTCGGGTTGGCTTCCCTATGCTTGGTTGCATTTGGGAGTTTCCGAAAATAGGGGACCCTAATATAGTACCCTAAATAATAGGATCCTTAATATAAGGACCCAAAACCCCAAAATAAGGTACCCCCCTATTGTCGGAAAGTCCCATTTATGAGCCCAGACAACAACATGACTTTGTGTTTAAGACCCCTCGGAAACTTGTCATGAGTCTTACCCCTTACGTCCGACATTTTGTGGTCGCCGAAGTAATTACCTATACTCTTTTTTTTTTT